ATACAGGCTTTGACAAACTTCCTGTTTATATTCCTATAATCCCACTTACTATACACATTTTCCCATGCTGAATTTTTTTCTGGTTGCTTCTGAATACATTCTGTCTCCATAGTTGCTTCACATGTCTTTTTAATTATCCTATGATTGTACAGCATCTTTAATACTAATGTCTCTTGACCCATCTAGACATAAATTTTCCAGCACACTACAAAATCAGTTTTATACAAAGGAAAGTTGAATTCAAATCTGCAGGTATATTGAATAGGCTATGGACTCAACACCCAAAAGTGGAGACTTTCTGAAGTCTTCAAAATAAAAAGAGATTCATTTATTATCCATACTTCATTTAGAATACAATACCATATGCCTCTGGTGATCTCCTTTTGCTTAAGCTAAGCCAGATATTATATTATGCTTCAACCATAAGCAGTTAGATGGATATAATATGCTTTCAAGAAACATAAAAGTCCTGGTGAAATAATTATTTTAAACTATAAAAATTAAATGGTTATATTATGTATAAATGTAATATTAGATGCACAACTAATTGATACCACAGATGTATCAGAAAAATATACAGTCATGGGGTTTAGTACAAAAAAGCATATATATATTATATCTGAATTCTGAAGCATTAATCTATATAGAATGTTTTAGGAACCTTGATCAGTCTAGGCTTGAAAAGGAATATTAGGAATTCATTAAACAGGCCATAAAAGTGATGTTGTTAATCTCAAGAATGTGTCTTTCAGAAAACTGATTAAGGAAGATTGAAGTATTAAAAGGAAGATTAAAGTAACAATATCAATGACAGCAAATAATTTACTTTTAAAGAACGAACTCATACAGGATGATTGATGATAAGGATGATGATGATCTATACAGAGTGGTATTAGGCAGCTAATACAATAAGAGCATCAATTACAATAACAAAATGGAATAAAGAAAACATCAGAAAACAAAATGAAAATGGCCACTGAGAATAAACCAGTCAGCAACTAATTGTTTCAGTTACTGGATTCAATTACTTCTGATTCCCCTGCCTCACAAAGGGCTTTACAAAAGACCAGCAGAGTTGGGGCTAATCTGGTTTGGGAGCAATGCTGTTCCAAAGAGCAGGCATTGCCACAGAAAATAAATGCTTCTTGGGTCTTTTTGGGTGGCACCCTTTAATTGATGAGACCTGCAGAATGTGGTGGGTAGAGACAATCAGAGAAAAGCAGCTTGGTCTCATGCCATGAAGGGATTTATACAGGGCTTTTTTTGTCATAGAACACCCAGAACAGAGTTCCGGCACCTTTTTTTGGATGGAACTTTGTAGAGTAGGCAAGGCAGGTTGTATGACATGTGTGAGTTCTGGCACCTTTTTTTTTTTTTTTTTTTTACAAAAAAAGCACTGGATTTATAGATGACAACCAGTACCTTGAATTGTACCCAGAAACCTATTAGAAACCAATTCAGCAAATAAAGCAAAACGTAACATGGATGTACTGAAGTATGATCATATGAGCATAGCCATAGATTACATCAACTTCTGGATGTTCTTCAAGGGCAGTCCCATGTAGAATGCATTGCAGCTATACACTTGGGAGGTTACCAAAGTGATTATGCACAGCTTTCCCTGATCAAAGAAAGGGCATTATTGGTACACAATGTGAAGTTGTGCAAAAAAAAAATCCTCTGGCCATGGCTAAATCCTGCTCCTCAAAGGGTGGGGAGTAGAATAAATTAACATATTTTTTTGCCTAAGGAAAAAAAAACAGAATTTTGAATGTATATTTCAGTTCTCTAAATTAATCTGAAGCCATATTTATGTTCTCAATGAACAGACTGATACAGATATTCATTGCATCCAAATAACCAGAGACTCTAATGTTAAGATTAATATTAAGATGATTTGTGGATGATTAATTTGAGAACAGCTATTGAAATGCTTTTGTAAAATTCTATATCCTCTCAATAATTTATAATAAAGCCTGAAAGAAATTTGAATAATTCTGGTAACTGTAAAACACTACAAACAAATCTATATGCAGGTTATGATAATAGCAATGATAATGAACAGCATTCCAGAATCAGTAAATACAAATTAAATTACAGCAAAAATATTAATTTTATAAATACTAAAAAATGCATATTTAAGTGATTTTTGCAAGTAATAATTAACATATGCAGATTGGTGGAATGAAGATTAAAAGAGAAACATAAATTATAGAAATGTTAAGATGGGAGAAATTATAATTGACATTGTTGGGGAGAATGTCTGTAATAAAAATGAACATTTGGTCATAAATGATGCTTTTGTTTCAAACAATTATGACAATTGATATAACATTTAAATATGGCAGAAAAAGTTATCTAGGTTTGTGTCAGGAATTGCACATCAGGTGTCCAAATGAAGTCAGAAATGCTGACATGAACTTATAGTTTTATATAAATAAATATATTCTATATCTATATTTACAGCAGACAAGATAGTCAGGCAAACAGAAGTATCATGAGGTAAATCACAGAGCCACACAGGTCACAGAGAAGAAAAAGGCAGGAAAAAAGGATATTTCCCCCTTTCACCCACAGTAACCAATCACAGCAGAGACTGCCTCATGCAGGAGCCAGCACTCTCCATCCAATCAACTATAACTGTGTGTTCTGGCTCACTGTACAACTCTACTGTTCTAGCTACTAAATTTAAATAACGATTCGTATGGCAAGAGAAGAAAACAGGGTTAAATATAAAAATATTTCAAGATATAAAGAAATGAAAAGGACTGAGTCTACCTGATTAGAAATTCTATTTTGCAGCTTATTGCTTAGTCGGGATAAGTGGATTTGACTCAAAGGCAAGAGAATTTTAGAGCATGATCTAGGGTTCGGATGGACTATGGTATGATAATATAATTTTAAGAATCATTATATTAGAAGTGCCATATTGAAAAAATGGAACCAAAATGTGCCTAAAAATTCCTCTGGGTGTCTCAGCCCCAAAAAAACATGTTATCAAACTACTTCCAGATATCCAAACACATATACTAGAAACAATTAATCCTTGGTGCCTTTGCTACAAAGGTTTCCTTTCTTAAAAAAAGAAAAGAAATGCATATTAAGTATACATATTAAATGTGTAAGTGTACAGGGAATAATTTTATTTTTAGGAGCAGGAACATGAGTAAATCAATGGAGGATAGCAATAACAAATATAGCAAGAAGTAAAAGGCCAACAAACACTGAGAGTAAATATAAAGGCTTATAAAAAAATTCCGTTTCCCTTTCATTATTTCTTTTAAATAAATTTGTGAAACGTTTACAAAAAGGCCTAAATTATTGAAATCTGGATCTGAATGAATTCTCATTTGCAAGCTCTTCTTAAGCAGGGGACTATCATTCAGTCTCCTGAAATGGAAAATAATTCCTACAGTAGTTTTTGCCCAGTCTTCTGTCTTTTCAAAATATATTGTTATCATATACACAATTCTTTTTGGACACATATCCCATTGTTGTATGTGAAAAAATTCCACATATAGGCAATGCATATTTGAGATTACCTACTTCTTTTTAAGAATTTGTTTTAATCTATTTGATTTTTGCTTACAAACTGAAGAAAAAACATATTTAGCATTCTGTTCTGCTGTGCCATTTACTTGACCATAACAGTCTTACCCTTGTTTTTTTGAATTTGGACTGACTCTTAAAAGTTGAATCCTAGCAACGTTCTCTAGTTTTACAATATTTACATAATTGTTTTCATGGTAATTGAGAAATAGTTGAGTCATCTAAATGAAGCAAATAAATGTGTAAATATCACTATTTAAATGATAGCATCATATGATCAGGACATTTAGTAACAGATGAAAGTAGCTGAAGGAAATCAAAATAGTCTTGAGCTGAAAATGAAAAAAAGATAAATTGAAGCTGAAATGTTACATACTTAATTGCAAATAAGATTCAGTAATGAAATGGGATTTGCTTCTAATATAGTTGTATAAAATAGTGCTTCATTTTATTTTGTAAAAAATATTCTGAGAATATATATAATATAAAAGTCCAGCCGGCCCATTTCTTCTGTGGCTGAAGGAAATGCCTGTGTAGCTGAGAATGGATTGAATCCATAGCTTGGTTCTTGGCTGCAGAGCCATTTCTTTTGGCTGCAGAAGAAGTGGGCTGGCGAGGCAAGGCAGGTGTTGATTCGTGGGAGGCCTAGCTACAATGGTAAATAAGTGCGGTGCGCATAGGGCAGCTCCACCCACCCCGTCCCTAGCTTGATTTTTAGGCATGTGCCTCGCCTGAAAACTAGGGCTTATATTAGGTCTATCCACAAAAATCAAGCTAGGGCTTATTTTGGGGGCAGGTCTTACTTTCAGGGAAACACGGTATTCATAGATCTTTTGGAGGAATTTTCAAATATATACCTGGCTTACAAAATTGCATCCTTTATATTACATACTAGTAATTCTAAATTTGGCTCTACCAAATTCAACCACCCAAACATATTTTGAGAAGACTATACATATTTTTAAAGATTTGAGCCTAAAGTTTTAGATTAAATTTAAGATATAGCTCTCCTAATATTTTTTCCTATGTATTTCAAATAAAACTTTGGATAAAACTCTCATTCTCAAAACTTCCAGCATGATTTTTAAAATCATTCAGCAGTGAGCAACTGCAGATGGCAAGTGTTAAAAAGAGGTGGTACTTTAATCATGCAATGAGATACACTATCTTGACTATTTTAAGCCCCCATGGGTTCCCCTGTTGAAGAACATATTCTTCAGAAGTTATGTAGAACCATTTAGAAGTAACATCGATTCTCCATTGTTTTCCTTATTTATTTTCTTTTCTTCTTGTTTTAAAATGTGAAGTAATGTCATTTTTAAATTTTAAATATATTACATGTACAAGCCAATATTATTTAAGTAGCAAAATACATAGTACGGCAATAAAAATCAGCCTGAATAGCAAAATTCAATTTCTTCCTTCATAAGACATAAACATCTGGTGCTCACCTTTCAAATCCAATCTGTCTTAGTGCTTTTTCCCATGTCAAACCTGCAGAAAGGAAGACATATTAAGTTTCTTTTAGATAGTTTTCATTTTTCAATGAAGTCAAGAGAAAAACTGACAGCACAAGGACATAGTTTTCAATGGTTTTCATATGTTTATTTAAAAGAAAGATTTAATATGGGTAAAAAATAATTGGAATTTAAAAACACAAAATTGAAGTTGACATTTAATTATGTACAGTGAACCACAGTAATAGCAAAAATGTATAGATTTCTGTTAAGATTTGAAACAACAAGATAAAGATGACATGACAAAATGAGCTATTAATTTTAAATGTAACATACAGACAGACACATGTGAGAGTGTGGGTAACTGGTATGAAATTCACATTGTGCCATAACTAAAGAGAAAACCTTTATAAAATTATCTGTTGGTGGTATATGAGACCAAACAAACCATCAAAAGTGTAGAAAATTATTTCAAAACAATTTTAAAAATGTTAAAATATGATAGGACATTTTATCAGGCCTGGTAGACAAGACAAAAGCCAAGAAATTTTGGATACAAATTCATATGATAATGTAAAAGATTTTAAGAAAATTTTGTGAAAAAATTAGAACTTTTTTTACTGGAATTTATGGACAATGAATTAGAAAAGACTCATGGCAAACTGATTATGTACATGGTAACTTCAGCAAGATTATTATATGCTCAACGATGGCAGAACAATGAAATTCCCACAATGAAAGAATAGACTGCAAAAATGTCAGAATTTCATGAGATGACAAAGCTGACTTGTTTTATCAGAGGAAAAAAAAGAACAAAAACTTTTCTGAAAGACTGGAAACTTTATATGGACTTTTTGTTGAAAGAAAAAAGAAGAAAAAATAAAATAAAATAAACGATACAATGATTTACAGGTTCAACGATTAAAAAAGATGTGGATTAAGTGAGATACTGAAAGAATTTGCATAATAAGAGGGAGAGATTGCAATTTTTTGAAAGAAAACTTGGAATACTTCATAATTTTTCTTTCTTTTCTTGCACCTTTTTCTTTCTACCATCTTTCTTTTTTTCTTTTTCTTTCGGTTTGTCTTTTACTTTAAGAACAATAAATATAAATAAAAAATATTGTTTTCATTTTTCTATACAGCTACTTAAATTGACACATTATTTTCGCAGCATAGAAATCCTGATTTTTCTTATATTGCTTAGCAATAAGCCAGCCAGGAGAACCAGTTGCTATGATGGAATGATGCAATGGTGAATTCATACCAATATTCAATCAATTTAACCAGTATCAACACTTGCAGTGAGTCACAACAGTGATTTGCTATGGAGCACAGGAAGGATAGCCATGTAAAAACACCAACAGCATCGGGACAATATAAATAGGTTCTTTCAGCAACTGCTAGAAATATATTTTCAAGATGCCAGTTTTTAACTCTAGAAAAAAAATCTGGATGTTACACCATTTAAATTAATCTTCTTTGCCAACCTTGAGCTAACCTAAGTAGAAATCAGAATACTTTTAAAACATTTATATTTGTTGTTTTCAGTTGTCATAATAGTGAGCCATCCAAATCCAGATATCCTCTTTTGTTCCAGATTACTTTTTTAATATATCTATCCATGTTCATGTCTAGTTTCAAAATCTATATATTACTAAAATTCATTCCTGTAATTTTTAACTGGGCAAAACAGTGCATTATAGGGCAACAATTTCTGAACCAAGCTATCTCAAATGGGCTAACTCACAGAGTATGTCCAAAATCTGGGACCCATGCTTTCTATGGAAATGAAAGTGGCAAATTTTATAAATCATTTTATGATATAAAAATTATCATAAACAATTTATGACATAATACAAAATGTCATAAAACATTTCCTGTGCTGAGGTTTGATTGTGCTATACAATTCAACATGGGCTATTTAAGGCAGATATATCTCTGAATGTATCCCAACTTTTCCAATGAAGGCAGTAATTCAAAGTATTGTCATTGTTGAAAGACACTGAGGAATCTGGTAAAGAAATATCTCTGATAAGAATGACCCAACAGTTCATGAGTTGTCTAGCTGCACTAAAAGCCTAGGAATTTCTAGTATAGATCCAGAAGATGTTTGACTTTCTTGTTTAGTACTAAAACAAACTATATGTTTAAATTTAATTTTTCCTTTATATTGGCAATGTTCTCCAGAAAGAAAAAGAAAAATAATTTGGCTATAAAAATGGAAAGATATTTCAGTGTCCAAAATAGCAATCCTATTTTTTCTGTGTGTGAAGTATCTGTTCATCCCACTTTCCCCATTTTAGTATCTTTTTGTTTACTTACTTATTTGGTTATTATAAGTAAAGGATATTTTTTCAAAAATATAGGAAAACTTTGACCAGGTTCATCCATAAATAATGCATAATCAGCTGCATTCATAGGTTATATTAAGCCAAAATCAAATACGCTAATGATTGGCTGTGATGTCTGATTCCAAACTTTGAATTCAGATGTGAAAGTTGAAAAGGTCTAGGTAACTTAAATCTTTGCAGTTTTAATACATTAAAACATCATCTGAAGATGTCCTGTTTTTAAGACATTCTGCTTAAAACATTCTGTTTTAGAATGTGCTTTAAGTTGGCCTGTGTTTTTGCCATATATATACGTGTGTGTGTGTGTGTGTGTGTGTGTGTGTGTGTGTGTGTGTGTTTTCTGAGGTTTTTGCGGATGTTTGTATGTAGGTCTTTGGTTATTCGGGTTTTCTCCCACGTAAAATTGGAAGTGTCTTGGCGACGTTTCGACGAAGTCCCATTCGTCATCTTCAGGCTGGTGTTTTCAGCTTCGTGCTTTGAGCAGCAATGTGTGGTCTTAGCTGTTTCTTCCTTTCAACTGCCAGTGGGGGTATGAACTGATTGGGTGGGAGCTTGGCTGTGTTCTGATTGGGTGGAGGTGTGTTCTGATTGGTTAGGGGCTTGGCTGTGCTTTGATTGGCTGGGGGGTTGGCTGTGCTCTGATTGGCTGGGGGAGTGTTCTGTTTGGGTGGGGGCTTTGTTGTGCTCAGGTTAGTCTGAGTTGCAGGGGAGTTTAAGATGGTGGGCTGCCTTGCTATTTTTTGGCTTCGCGTTCGTGGTCTTGCCTCATCTTCATGGTGGGTGTCAGTTTGCTTCATGTATGGATTGGAGGGGTTTAAAGTGACTAATGATGTAACTTTGGTCTGGCTTCTGGTTTGTGGTCATGCCTCATCATCGGTGTGGCTTTGGGTTTGCTTTTTGCGTGGATGTGTGGTGGTGACATCCTGTGTGGTTTTTGTGAGTGTGGGTCTGGTGTCATTTTTTGTGTTAGGGAGTCATTTGTCAATAAGGGCGGGTTTCCAAATGGCTGGTAGGTGGGAGATATCATCTCGTTTGTTCATGCTGTGTGGGCGTTTTTCTATCTCAGTGGCTTCTCTGATTATTCTGTTATTAAAATGTTCAGTTTTGGTGATAGTTTTGGTATTTTTAAAGTCAATTTCATGTCCTGTGGCTTTAAGGTGTTGGACCAGGGAAGATGTTGGTTCCTCTTTTTTGACTGAGTTCTTATGTTCTTCAATGCGTGCACTTATTCTTCTGTTGGTTTGTCCGATGTATGTGTTGGGACAAGCAGTGCATGGGATTTCATATACTCCTTGATTTTCTAACTCAATTTTATCTTTGGGGTTTCTTAGGATGGTGGATATTTTTCTGTTTGTGCAGAATGCTGTTTTGATGTTGTGTTTATGGAGGATCTTGCTGATTCTGTCTGTGGTGCCTTTTATGTATGGGAGGAGGGCTTTGCCGTTTTCTTGTTCTCTGTCTTGGATTTTAGTGGGGGTTTCTTTTTGGATTAGGTTTGTAATCTTATTTCTTTGGAATCCATTGGATGTTAGTACATTGGTGAGAGTGTGTAGTTCGGTTTTTAGGTGTTGTTTGTCAGCTAAGTGTTTTGTTCTGGAGATGAGTGTCTTGGCTACAGAGTTGATCTGTGCTGGGTGGTGGTGTGAGAGAGCGTGCAGATAGCGGTTTGTGTGTATTTTCTTCTGGTAGATGGTGTGTCCTAGGGAGTCTTGGATTTCTTATAGACTAAGACATCCAGGAAGGGAAGTTGGTTATTAGCTTCTGTTTCCATGGTGAACTGTATTTTGGGTTGTAGGCTGTTGAGGTGTATGAGGAAGTTGAGGACTATCTGCACAATAAAGCTATTCTATTGTTTTAACTAATACTAACTGTTGAACAGCTGAGTTTGTTTGTTTGATTTTGAGGGCAGTTATTTCTTTATGTGTATTTTCTTTTATAAGTACCTCTCAAAATGTCCCTCAGTAGATCTTAACTCAAAAAAGATGTCTTCTGGTAAGCTGGCTTCCACATTTAAATTTAAATTATAACTTAATAACAAAAGTAATAATAATTTGAAATATCCATATAACATAAAAATCTCTGAAATATCACAATTAACTCTTTTCTTTCTGGGCTATAATGATGAAAAGCAGTAGAAAATAATTATCGCTGCATTATAATGCCTCATATATGTTTTCTTCTTCAACAACACAGTAAATATCTTCCTAAAAACAAAATGTCTTAAATTCTGCTAGCATTCATGCAATGACTTCTCTTTCTGAGGAAGGATTATAATGATAACTATGTAAACAGTCTGATAACCAATTAAACTGAAGAACTCAGTCTAAAATCTAATTAGTTAAATAAATTTACATTATTTTACTTTTGAACAGCCTTTAATTCTTTGAAACTCAGAGCTGAATCTACAAATTCCTGTCTTTCAATGGTCATTAATAAGATTAAGAATATACATTTTGATTTAGAAGAGAGATTATTACTATTACTAGCTCATATAAACTATATGAGATGAGGCCTCCTAAATCTAGTGAACTGCAGTTTTAAAAAGATAAAACACTTTTCAAAGATGAAATAATCTAGAAACAAATAAAAAGTATATTGCATTTAAAATATGACCAGTGGCTGAACTTCATTTCCCATTGTCAATTGTTTCTGGGGAAAAAAAGGTTATAATAATGTATATATT